ATATTTGTTGGTGATCCCTTTCCCTGATACTTTTACCAGCAGACTCCCAACTTTTCTCTCTCTGAAATTTGCATCCTGCATATCCTGCAGAAGTTTTAACAGCCCCTGCTCCAATAGCTTCCTGATGTTACGCCTTATGGCCAGATCTCAAACCCTTCTGAGCCCTTAGACAAAGTTAAATAATTTTGCACTGGCCTGTGGCAAACAGTCATAGCATGCTGATGTATCCCATATCTGAACACCGAAGTAATGGACAACTTCTACAAAGCTGGACAGGCTTACTTAATCTCCCTTTTGCATCACTGTTTCTTCAACCATGCTGACTTATTCCAAGGCTCAGTATGCAATGCCTTTCAAGCACATTTCACCAATGCACACATAGTCTGTTTTGAAGACTCATAGAATTTTTAATACCAGACCATTCAGCCCATTGAGATTACCTACTGAGCAACGACTACTTTGAATACTTACACTTACCAACACTTACGTATTGGACCTTTTCCACTTTCCTGAATGTTAACTAAGTTCTTGTTCAAATGTGCCTTATGCTGCCCAGTTACAAGAGAGGATCTGGATTTAAACAGGTTCACTGGCTTTCACTGAGCAGAATCTTTTCATAGAATCATAGAATCACAGAATCACAGAATGGCCTGGGTTGAAAAGGACCACAATGATCACCAAGTTTCAACCACCCTGCTATGTTCAGGGTTGCCAACCAGGCTGTCCAGAGCCACATCCAGCCTGGCCTTGAACGCCTCCAGGGATGGAGCATCCACAACCCCTTTGGGCAACCTGTTCCAGTGTGTCACCACCCCAGAGTGAAAAACTTCCTCTTAATATCTAATCTAAACCTCCCCTTTCTCAGTTTAAAACCATTCCCTTCGTCCTATCACTATCCAACCTCATGAACCGCTGTTCTCCCTCCTGTTTATGTTTTCAAATACTGGAAGGCCACAACAAGGTCTCACCGGAACCTTATCTAAGCTAAACAATCCCAGTTCCCTCAACCTTTCCTCATAGCAGAAGTGTTTCAGCCCTCTGATCATCTCAGTGCCCTCCTCTGGACCCGCTCCAAGAGCTCCACATCCTTCATGTACTGGGTGCCCCAGGCCTGGATGCAGTACTTCAGATGGGACCTTACAAGATCTGAGCAGAGGGGGACAATCACCTCCCTCTCCCTGCTGGCCACCTGTTTTTTAACGCAGCCCAGAACACAGCTGTCCTTCTGGGCTGCAAGTGCACACTGCTGGCTCATGTCCAGTTTCACATCCACCAAAACCCCCATCTTCTTCACAGGGCTGCTCTCAAGGTGATCTTCCCCCAGTTTGTATAAATTTGGTGGGATTGCCCCAACCCAAATGCAGCACCCTGCACTTGGCCTTGTTGAAATTTTTCTACACGCTCAATGAATATGTTTGCAGTGGTGTTGGTATTTTTGTTGTGGTAGATATATACCTGGTCTCTGATGGCATAGCAAGATAAAATAGAGACAAATGATGGTTTTCAGTCTTAACAACTGTTAAGCAAGCATTAAGGCACATGTCCTTCTCTCCCTTTCCCATGGCACAGTGCTAATCCTGCTGATGCAGTTTGATCATCTTCGTGTTATCTGTGACTGTGGAAATTTCCATTAGCTTCCATTAGCTTCTCAAGTTACTGTGAACTCTTAGAGGAGCAGTGCTTCCCCCCATCTCCCCCATCCAAAAAAAAAAAGAAAAGAAAAGAAAAAAAAAACATTCCCAAACGAGGTATAAAAAGGTGAGAACACCAACATGTGTCATCACAGTGGTCCCACGGCCAAGAAATCAACCTGTGTGCTCACCTTGTCTCCCATCCCTGAAGTCTCTCAGTGCTTCACAGCGAATTACAACTTTCATACTGTAACTTATTCAGCTCTTTTATGGGAAATTGCATAATGCTGGGGTTTTCCACCCTGGATCACAACAAAACCAACAAAAAGTGCATTTTTTCTCACAGAATGCAGAAATGCTACTGGCATTTTCTCCCTAACCACAAACTTTTTAAGCCCTTTCCACAGATACTGTATAAGATTTGGAAAAATTATGTTTGAAAAGTTTGCCTTGAAATGCATTAAAGGGAAATGTTCCTTCCGGGAAGGGATGGAAGGTAGGAATATTGATCCAGTTCTCCATGTTGTGTTTATTTCTCATCTTCATAATAAAACCTGCTGAACAGCTTATATCTTGGGCTTTGCTCCCTGTTCTGCCAGGACAGCTCAGGACCTGAAACAATATGATGTATCCAAACCCCAGACTTGGAGGCTCCACCTAATCTGCTCTCCTCTACTGCCTTTCAGTAACTCCCATGCCCAGCAACTAAAAACTATGGCTCAATTCATAACTAAGCCCCTGGGAGACAGAAACTGAGTTGTTTTTGCACAGTATTTGGGAAAACAGACGTGCTTTGTGCAAATGCAACCACACCAGATTCCTGCCCGCCAGCCCAGGGAGCAGTAGGCATGAAAACATGGCACAAATTTTGAGGATGCTGAGCCAACACAGGTAGAAGCCCTACCTGCTGCCACTTGCATCTTGCCTGATGTTTCCCAACTCAATATGCATGACACAATCTGGATCTCAGCTCACAGAGCCAGACTTGAAGGAACAAACATACTGTGTCACATTCCCTATCCAAGCACCTTTGTGTGCTTGCAGTGCAGGCTGTTTTTTCTTTTCCATGGGACCAGCCTCAGGTCATAAACCTGAAGAGGAGATGAGGTATGGTTGGAGTCTGCTCACTGTGGTGATGTCACCTTCTCCAGGAACTCACTCCTCTGCAAATCCCAATCCAGGCTGGAGCTGGGCTTCCCCTCTGTTAAACCCAGGGGAATCCGCCCACAGGATCAAGAGGAGGTGGAGGGTGGAAAGAGATATAAAGCTACCCAGGAGCAGCTCAACCTTACTGCCCTTGTTGCACGGATCTACTCTCAGCATGAAGATGCCTCTGGTGGGGCTGCTGCTTGGCCTGGCATGCATGGAGTTGGGTAAGACTGCTGCATTCTTGACCCTCTGGGAAATGCCTGGGAGGGGAGGGGAAAGGCAGCAATTCAGAAAGACCTGGTAGGATAAATGATGTTTTAATGTATTTGAAAATATTAACAGATGAGGAAAAGAGATATTCATTCCTGTTGGGGAGAACTGTCATGCCTCTCGTAGAGAGCAGAGAGCAGACCCATGAGTGATCTTGTGTCTGCCATTCCCATTCACAATGGATCTCAGGGTGGAGGGGACTGACATTAGTTTCTGTAAGGCTAAGAGATGAAGGACACGTGGTACAGGGCAGCACAAGTGCGGGTGAGGTCTTTAGTCATCAGGATAGAAATGGGTGAGAGTATGACAAATAACTCCAGGAACTTTGTGAAGGTTAATGAAACCAATGGATTCCAGTCTTTAAAGTAATTTCAGGATGTTAGGCGATAGGTAGAAATAGGAAATTCCTTTGGGTCTGTCTGGGTATGGACTCTACTGGATCAGAGTCTCAGCCAAGCTGGTCGTAGAGTCCAGTTATTGTTATCCTCTCTCCCTCTCTGTGATCTACTGCAAATATCTCCACTTCTTTTTAAATGGGTCATTCTTAGAGAGACACAAACATTGTGGCTTTCACCCTCTATCCCATGGTCACCAGAAATCCTTTGTCAGCTTTGATGGGACTCTGACAGATCTCAAAGGAAAAGCAGCCTGGGTAGGAATTGAATACTCTCAATGCCATGTGGGCATTACTACATGAAGATCATCCACAGGGCTGCCAGTGAAGATGGCTGAAAGGCATACACCTTGCAAACATTATGCACAGAAGTGTTGAGTCTTGTCCTCAAGCTGCATTGTATTGCTTTATTCCTTTTATCCTCATTCTTCCTTCCCTATATCTCTGAAGCAAACCCAAATCTGGTTGAATTCATTTCCTTACATGCTCTGGGTTGAACAACACACCATAGAGCTGAATCAAGAAAGATACAGATACTTGTATATAGTTACTGTAATTTATTACATTTCAGTGCATGTATGGTGTTTTTTTTTAGTTTGTTTTATTTCTCCTTTCAAGACTCTTCACAGATGGTATATTACATTTCTGCTTCCATCCAGACTTGTTCTGGGTTTAATTGCATTGCTAAGGAGCTGGCAGGGAAGGTTTTCATCCACTGGTCTTGAAGATATTTACAGGAGCAGAGTAGCATCAACACCCTTTGCTTTATAGTTGAGGCTGGGGCAGACATGGCTTTTCTGGGATGATGCAGTGGGAAGCAACTGGATTTGACAGCACTTGCAGCTCAGGAATATGCCTGTAACAAGTGGATCTATTCGACTTGTGTCTGTTACTGATTACTTTTCTATATTTCGAGTGTTGTATTGGTTTAATCAAAGAAATGTTCATTAAATTTTAAGATTTACACAAGCTTTGAGATATAACAAGTCTTGAACCACATGAAGTAATGCAGAAATTAGTGTTTGTTTCTTTACAATATATGAATCGATTCTATACTTTGAACATGCTTGCACATGGCCCAAGAAAAATTACTAACCTTCCAGAATTTTAAAACGAAGGGGTAGAAAGTGTCATTGGACAATGATGGACAATGGTTATTTGCCTTGGGTCAGGACATAGCACTTTCCTCAATGCTCAGTTCATCTCTTCTGCTCTTGTCCTGACAATTCTGGACATTCCTCTTCTACTACAGTCTTCGCACAAAAGAAATGTCTCCACATAGATGCAGTGAAATAATAAGAGGCAGAGGGATGATGGTTTTCTCACTTAAATCTACTCTTAACTGGAATTAATTCCTCCAGAAAACATAATACAGTACAGATGTCAGTAATTAATTAATTATATTAAACATAATACAGTACAGATGTCCACCCATCCAAAATGGTGAGGTTTGGAAATCAGCTCGACCCACATATCACAGACCAGTTCCTCAGATGATTTGAACTGGCACTGCTCCACCCATACACCCATACACAAGCTGGTCCTTCACACCCAAAAGCATCCTTGTATTTGCAAGGTTGAAAACTTTCTGATTTTTCTCCCACATGCACAACATGTTAAGATATCCAAAATATGCATTAAAAAAAAAAAATCTTTTGTGGATCATTCCAAAGCTATCCTCAAAAATCCTCAAATTGGGTAAACTCAAGCTAAAAAGTTCTTTCTGCCTTTGCAAAGAGGATAGAGAAAATTCTGCATCATGAAGGTTCTGTTGCACGGCTGAGTTTTTCAAAAGTGGTGCTAAGAGAAATAGATGCCCTGGAAATCCATTTTGTCACTGGGTGTTCAAGCAACTGCCTTCAAAAATATTTATCCTTATCGCATAGTCCCAGGAGTTTCTCTATAACAGCAGAACTAGTGCCAAAAATACATCATCTTTCTGCTGTTTTATCAATAGATGGCAGTGGAAACATTTGCGTGGTTCATCAGCTGCTGCATTGCTGGAAGATGCGTAGCACAGAAAACATCAAAGTGGGCTGTTTTCTGATGTAAAGTCACACCAGCATGACTGAAAAATATGCACACTCAGAATCTTTTGGCTGTGGATGGGCAGGTCTAGTAGCAAGACTTTTGAGCAACTGCTGTGATCAAGGCTTATGTAAAAGAGTCCGTGTGTCGACATCCACCGCTTTGTAGCATCACCTCTTTCAAAAAAAAAACAACAGCAGCCCTGATGAGTTTTTAGGCCACATTCAACCCTTAGGATCTCTGGTACAGCTCTGAAATTTCGGTTACTAAGCTGTTCAGAAAACCCTCTAAACAAGCAGAATGGAGCCCTGAAAATTCAACTTCAGTGACTGTCTCTGTGGATGAAGGAACTACAGACGAATGCTGCTCTAAGCAGAAGGAGCTGTTTCACTCTCTATATTGCAGCACATCTTATACAGGATGCACAAAATACAAAAGTGTCCCAGTTCAGGCCAGATCAGTTCCCTAAATCTAGAATTTGATTAGTTTTAAGGAAATGATATTATCTTATTCTTTGAGTCTGTAGAACAACAGCAAACTACCACGCTGTAACACATGTGAATAGTCACAGCCATGGATCCCTAAAGAGCTGGTGGGCCAAACACCTCCAAGGATTTTACTAAAGCTGCTCAAGGAGAAGTTCCCTGTAGATCTGCTCTTTTCAGGCTGCTGAGCCCAGAAAGCAGTGATAATGCCCAATTCTCTGCAGTATCAGCCTCATCCTTGGATGCTGGGGTTTGGTCTTTGCCCTTGACATACCCAAGTTTTGCCACTGCCTCCAGCTGTGTGTAGTTTCCATGGGCTGTCCATCTTGAGTGGGGGGATGAAGCAGTTACCATAACACATTCTCTACAATAGACTTGCTGTCTTTGCTTCTGTGACCATCTCAAAAATGTTTTGTTCCCCTCTGCAGCCCAGTCCTTGCAGTGCTACACATGCAAGGAGCCAATGGACATTTCCAAGTGCAGAACACCCACAGAATGTCCCCCGAGAGCCAAGGTGTGCACAACAACTCTGCACTCTGTAGACTTAGGTAAGTCTCATTGCTTTCTTTGAATGGTGCTAGAACACGAAGGTCATTAAGCCTAGTTCTACCCATCCACACCATGTCCACTAAACCATGTCCCTCTGTGCCATATCTCCATGTTTCTTGAACACCTCCAGAAACAGCAACTCCATCACTTCCCTGGGCACCCTGTTCCACTACCTTACCACTCCTTCTGGAAGAAATTTCTCCTGATATCCATTGCATCCAATATCCAATATCTTGGAGCAAGATGAATCCTTTGTGAACTGAATAATCTTACAAACTTCCTCCATGCTTCCCTCTCCCCAGCTTGGGTTATTCTTTACTTCTCTGCAAGAATCATTGTGGGGTTATCCAGGGTAAGAAGGAGAAAAGTTCATTGAACTCAGAGCTTCATAGTGAAGCACGCAGGACTCAATCCACTTACTTTGTTATGCCTTTCCTACTCCTATGCATTACAGATCCTGAAATGTCAGATGTGTGAAAACATATTGCAGAAGCACAAGGACTCCTTGTTTGTAGACATTCTCGCTTAGCACCAGTGAGAAAAAAAAAAAACTTCAGCATGCTAGTATTATACCAATGCTTCTTGACATTTCCAATTCCTATGCAAAACTATTGCAGGAGCAACCCACCTGAACAAAACATGCAGAAACTTGTGTTATTTGTTTGCACTAGAATAAATTTGGAAGGAACAGAAAGGAGAGTGGGAGGCAGCAGGGAAATCCAGGGGACCTGCTCCTTAAAGAGCAGTTTGGATTACAGGTACAAGTATATTAAAGATGGTGCCCCTTTATTTGTCTTTGTTGACCTATAAACACTGTGCCTTCAAGTTCTGTCCATTCGACAAAGGCAGCGTTGCTCAAAGCCAGGTGTTTGTATTTCCCTTCACCATTTTGTTCTCTCTTCTACTTCTCCAATGCATCCATTTCAGGTTACCCGTTTTTTGGCAACATTACCGTCACAAGAAGCTGTGAAGAGGAGTGTGTCACCTATGAAGGGATAGGGTCAAATAGACCAACAACATGCTGCTACACTGACCTCTGCACTGAAGACACCAGGAGCAGCAAGGGGGAGAGAAGCAGCTCTGCAGCGCTGGGTGTGATGGCCATGATTTTTGGCACGCTCCTCCAGTGTGCTCTGTGATGTTGATGGGTATCTGTGCTCCAGTCAAAGCATTCTCACTCCTCTCTCTGCCAAGATGTGAATTTTGAGATACCCTGGGAAAACTTCTTCACTCAAGTGTGTCTTCACCCATCTTCAGCGCTATGAATTCAATGGGATTCAAGCCAAAAGTTTGGGCATTCAGAACTAAAATCCTCAAATTTCCACTTTCCAGCTGATATAAACAGATGTTCTTCACCTATGGTTGCTTCTGTTTCCCAGAATCTACATCTCACCTTGCAGCTTTCTTCACTGGGGAGCAGAGGTGGATAAAGAGAGTGGTGGCTCTGAGCAGCATGAGGGACTGGGCTGTGACACTGGGCTTGAGCAAGAGCAAGGGCTGTACTCACATTGGACACAACGGATCTCCCCAGCTCCCACACAGTGTACATCTGTGACAATAACCTAATGCAAAATCCCCAAAATACCTGCAACTCTTCATCAGGATCTTCCTTTACTTTCTTTCCACACTGGGTGCTATCTCCTGAGCCAGATGGATGTTGCAACCTTCCCAGTACTCAACAAAGCGCAGTATGCAATTGGAGGGAGCTGGCTCTTAAATCTGTCCAGAATGTTATGGAATGGGTTCAGAAGGGCTCAGCCTTCATGCATGGAGATGGGACATGTTTCTGAAAAGCTCAAAAGATGTTCAGGATGAAGCACTCGAGGCTAGTTAAACTGATAAAAGCAAGTCAAGGAGTTTGAGCAGAACAAACTCCCATCAGCCCTTTGCCTGAGCTCAGGTTGCAATCATAGTCCCTGGCTTTCTCCTTCCAGATGTTTCACAGACTGTTCCTAGCAATTTCTCCTATTACTCTGTCCTTCCCCATTCTTTCTCAGCAGGGATGATGGGAAAGGAAAAGCAATGACTATTTCAGACCTCAGCTTTGGGAAAAATCGGTGGCTCCACTCAGTGCTGGGGATTTGCTCCAATTCTCCCTTGGAGCAACACAACAATTTGGTTTTGATGCTTTGACTACTGTAAAAACAGGAGTGGAAGCAGATCCAAACAAATTAGGCATGCCCAGCTTATAGATGTTTTGGGGAAGGGAAAGCTGAGGAACAAGCATTTCTCACTAGTCTTATTCCTTGGCTCATTCAGGGAATGAAAGAGGCAAAGGGCAGCATGAGTACATCCCATGAACTGTCCTAACACATTCATAATTTTTCTGCCATGTCCTTTGTGGCAAACTCAGTTTTTACTCTATCTCCATAACAGACATCTAGGAAAAAAACATCATCCAGGAAAATCTAAGAGTAAAAAGGGGGCTTTCTGGATGAGAACCCAGTGAATAAAGTTGGATCTTCCAGTTTTCAGCCTGTAGTGTCTTTCTTGTATGCTCAGCATGTCTTTGGAAAATTTCCTGCACATCAAGGTCTGGGTAAGTAGAGAAGTGCCAGGGAGGGAGAGAACTACAAAAGAGGACAAACAGAGGAGGAGAGAAACACTCCTTGCAAGGGCTAGATTAAAGGCTGATGGGAGAGGAGGGGGAGAAGGGCAGTAGAAGGGTAAAAGACAATGAATGGTTACAGAATGCTTATTTAGGGCATGCACAGGGAGAAGTGGGATTTTTTTCCTTGTCTTGCAGGAAACATGGGGAAAACAGTTGAACTCAGAGCTGCAACGTGAGTAGGTGGCTGCAAACAAGGATGCTGTGGGTGAGGACCAATGCCTTCCTTGTGCCACTGATGCTGGTGGTGAGCATCCTGCATCTCACTGCACTGACAATCTCCTGCTTCCTGGGATTTCCCTCATGATGCAGCTCTGTTGCTAAAGCATCAAGCATTTAGTGTGGAAAATAGAGCAGAAAGCTCAAAGCACTTGTAATACATTCCTATATTAGGCAAGTCTTTAGCACAATGTGTCAGAGGTGCAAAATTTCACAGCAATATTCATCTGTTCATGCTCTGCTGGTCCTAAGCCACAGGACGAACAGCTGGAAGCCCTTGCAAAGTTTAATTCACATCAAACTTCTGCTTCTGTTATTGCTTTTATTTATTCTGTCTGCTTTGTCTCTGGGAATTAAACTCAGTGAGAACCACTGCCCCAGTAAAAGCAGAATACTGCTGGGAGATTCAAAGGTATTTGCAGAATTTTGCATCACTGGGTCAAGTGGACATATGGAGGTAGAAGTTTAAATATAGGCTGAATAAAATAGAACAGAGAGATAAGTGTCTCTAAAGGGACATAAAAAGATGTGCAGCCCCTCAACATGAGGCTACAGCACTGCTGTAACTGGAGGATTTTACCTGCCCCTCTGCAGGCTTGTCTTCTTTGATTGTTGGACTAGATGATACTAGTTTTAGGTTTTCTCTATGTCACGGAGTTGACCAGATCAATCTATGTCCGTGACAGGGGCGACAGGCCTCTGCCCTCCCCCCCCACCCCAGTCCCACAAAATGGGAAGGAAGGAAGGGAGGAAAAGTACAGCGGCAACAATCTATGGAGGAAAACTTATTTTACTATAATATTGGAATACAAGATAACACAATCTATACAATTTAATTGAAATTGAGATTAATAAATCAGACAAGATAAGAGAGAGAGAGTTCCCAGGACCGATTCAAACCTGAAAAGCTTGGAACGGCTAGGAAAGCACCCTCCAGCACCCACTGCCAGGCAGCAAGAGAGCGACCCCCCCCACCCGGAAGGGCCAGATCCCGTGACTGCTGTAATGTACAGGGATAGGTACTTGGAATTGGGGCAGTGACACTTCAATGCCCCGTACACTGCATGATGTTTTGATGTGGAATACTGAAACCCAAAAAAACAAAAACAAAACAAACAAACAAACAAACAAAAAAAACCATAGAACCATGACACTCTAACCTTAATGAATCAATGATTCTCAGCAATCACTCTGTGCAGGGACAGGGATATTATCTCTAGGCTTGAGGGCATTCCTTGATGCCTTATGCTTTATCTGGACTAGCGGTTGCTTTTTCCACCATTTTCCAGCAATTCTGCAAATGTGGGGCAGCCCTACAGATGTATGGTCCTTGTTAATCACTTTCAAATCTGGAGGCAAAGTTTTTCATCCATTCAGGAATTAAAGAACAAAGCAAAACAGAGAGTGAAATTTCATGGAGACGTTTGAATATCCAGTTGCTGGGGGTACTCAAACTTGTATACTCAGCTGAGTCTTGCCTCCAGCCAACTGTCAGTGCTATATATTGTTTGCCTTGGTGGCCTTTCATTGTGGTCTCCATGACTCAAAGGTGGAGTGAACAATTCAGAGATTTCTTCATCTTATGGAAACACAGTGTACACACAAACCTGGCTTGAGCTGAATCAGCAGTGCAGGTCCATGGCAACCTGTTCGTCTTAGTCCCAGAATCACAAGGGGAAGAAAGCAGAGTCACTGATGTCACTTAGCTGGAATTCAGTAAGGCCTATGACACGGTTCCCTATAACATCCTTCTCTCCCAATTGGAAAGATTGGATTGGATGGGTGGGCTGTTCAATGGGTGACGAACCGCCTGCAGATTCGAAGCCAGAGAGTGGTGGCCAATGGCTCAATGCCTGAATGGAGATCAGTGACAAGTGGCGTCCCACAGGGGTCAGTACTGAGACTGATGCTCTTTAACATCTTCATCAGTGACATCAACAATGGGATTGAGTGCACCCTCAAGAAGTTTGATGACACCAAGCTGTGGGGTCCAGTCAACCTGTCCAAGCGATGGGATGCCATCCAGTGAGATCTAGACAGGTCTGAGCAGTGGGCCCAGGAAAACCTCATGTGGTTCAACAAAGCTAATTGCCAAAGTCTTGCACTTGGGTCGTGGCAACCCCAGCTGTTTGTACAAGCTGGGGGACAAAAGGATAGAGCACAGCTCTGCCAAAAAGGAGCTGAGGGTACTGGCGGATGGGAAGCTGGATGTGAACCAGTAATATGCCCTTGCAGCCGAGAAAGCCACTCCTATCCTGGGCTGCATCAAAATGAATGTGGCCAGCAGGGTGCGGGAGCTGATCCTCCCCCTCTACTCCGTGCTGTTGAGACCACACCTGGAGTTCTCCTTCTTCCTCCAGATATGGAGTCCTCAGTATATTTCACCTGCTGGAGAAAGTCCAGAGGGGGCTGCAAAAATGATCCAAGGGAGGACAGGCTGAGAGAGCTGGGGCTGTTCAGTCTGAAGAAGAGAAGGCACTGGGGAGACCTGATATTAGCCTTCCAATATGTAAAGGGGGACTAGAAGAAAGAAGGGGTCAAGCTCTTTAGCAGGATCTGCTGTGATAGGACAAGGGGAAACCATTTCAAACTAAAGGAGGAGAGATTTAGAAGAGATATAAGGAAGAAGTTTTTTAGGATAAAGTTGGTGAGGCACTGGAATGGGTTGCCCAGAGATGTGGTGCATGCCTTGTCCCTGGAGATATTCAAGGTCAGGATGGATGAGGCTCTGAGGAGTCTGATCTAGATATAAGTGTCTCTGTTCATTACAAGGGAGTTTGACTAGGTGGCCTTTAGGGATCCATTTCAACTCAAATGACTCCACGATTCTACTTCCTACCCAAACTATGTGATACAGGCTAGAAAATGATATTAACTCTGCACTGCTGGAAAAAAACTACTGGAGAGAACGATTCCAGTATCTCAGTAAGCTGAAATTTGGACTTGTATTCAGTCCTGAAGCTTTGAATCCCACGAAGGCACCAGTGGTGCAGCACAAACACTGTGATTAATACTTAGAGAGCTGTGGCTTCCAGCAGTGATCATTTGCAGTTCCTTTCCACAAGTCACAGCAGGACACTGTTCACATCATGCATAGATGTGAGAGGAGGTAGTTATCCTGGCATGCCCTGATTGCAGCCTGGCTCAAGCTGCAAGGTGGGAAACACCAGGAGATGTTTTGCTGCTTGATCTCTTTCAATTTGATATACTTTTTCTTCCTAGGGAAGGAAGGAAAGGGAGAAAAATACACCCATATAGCTCTCTTGGAAGGTGCATTAATCCTATTGGGTCTGAAAGTAATAGAGAAGAGAC